GATGGCCACAGAGCTCAGGGCTCACGGACCACACTCAGATACTTACGCTCGGGGGGTGTCAGCTTAGCAGCAGGTTGCAGTTCAGGTTCAGGGGCGCTCAGGCTGCGATTGGCTGATCAGGACAGCCTTCCCTCTGCGGTGCCTGGAGACCTGCCTCTCTGGCCCTCGGCTTGGCCTCTGCCCTGCTCGGGCAGGTGTTGCGAAGCTCTGTTAGTGCTGCTGATAGGTGTGCCCCCCTCTGCCAGCAAGCCTCCTGCCCACAGGCACTCAGCCTTCTGGCTCTGTGGGCCGGCAGGAGCTGGTCTCGTGGTTCTGCTGCCTCTGGTGCAGTTGGTTGTGTCTCTGTCCTCCCAGTGCAGGGGTCTTGGGTCCAGGGACGTGCTCCACAACACCTCCGGCTTTTCTTTCTTAATGGCAGTGAGATCCCCTTTTCCACCTCTTGTTGTTGTTGTTGTTATGTGTCGTCGAGTCGGTTTCCGCCTCTAGGAGGGCTCATTTTAAACCTGGTGAGATGGCGAAACTGACCAATCCCCACGGTAGGGTACCTATACCTTATTTGCATGTCCCACTCCAACCAGGGAGCCATGCCCCTTATTTGCATTATTAGCAGGCTGTCCAGTCCCCTTGTTGGGCCACAGGCACCTCTCATTTGCACAGCTCCCCCAGTCATGTGGTGGGAGTCACAAAGTCCATGGCTTGAAGAGCCAGACCAAGTCATTCCCTGCACCACAGACCCCCAGTGCCCGTCACAAGAAGCAGGGCTGCTGGTGTCATGTCAGGTTGACGTCTGCGGCGCACTGTGGTGGTTAGTTGTAACTCTTTGTGGGCTCCTTTTTTTTATCTGATGGTCTGGGATTTGTTTTAACATGATTGACATCACTGCCCTAGCTGGTACTAGGTCTCTTCGGCCGTTTGTCTGTGTGCCGATGTTCCCTCTGTGTCGTGTCTTTGTTCCATGATCTGCGTTCTTTGCTGTCCCCTCCTGTTGTCTCAGAGGGTCACGGTCTGGCTTGAACCGCACTGACTGACTGACTTTCTCACGTGAGCTGCGTTCTTTGTCTTCTGTCTTCAGTGACTTCCTTTTCCCGCAGCTGCTTCTGTTCTCTCCCGGACTTAGGAGGCTGCACCTCTGTGGCTGCCCTGTGTAGCCTCGCTAGCTGGTCCGCGGTGAAGTCCTTCAGTGGTGAAGAAGACCTGGCTCCCTCCATGCAGGCTGCAGCCGGGCGGTTCTAGTGGGCAGCCCCACACCTCGTGCAGAACGCGGGTTTGCATAGGCGCTGGGGGTGTGTTTACCCCTCCAGCAGTTTCCTGCGTGGCACGGGTGTGGGATTAGCTCTGGAAAGGGCATCAGGGGGATGAGAGGTGTTGGTGGTGACAAGCCTGGGGAGAGGGGTGGCTTTTCCTTCGGCAGGCTCTCTGGTCTGGTCGTCTTAGCCCCTCAGGCCCGTGTTGCTGTAGCCTGGAGGATGTGAGTCAAGAACTTGGCAGTGATCTGGACTTTGTTCTCTGGTGAAACTTCAGCTCAGCTTCTTTGGGCGCCTCAGGTCACGGTGCATAGCTGCTCTGAATTAATTGGGGTGCCCTTCTGAGACTGCACTGTGACATCCACCTCCCTCACACGCACAGCTGCGATGTCCACCTCCCTAGCTCGCGTGACCCTGTGCTGAGAGTATCTCTGACTCTCTTGGAAGCTTTTCTCTGTTCTGAGTCCTTTGAGAGCTGGTTTTAGGGAAGGAAACAAGGGTGACGTGGCTGCGTCACTAAACGCTGAAAGCACCCGGATGCCTGCTCCCTCCCCTGTGCTGTTCTCGCTCCTGGGCAGGCTCACCTGCTACCATTGGGCGGGCTTTTCTCCACGCAACCTCCGTTGTGTTAACTTTTCATTCCCTTGGGATGAGGGTTGGTACTATTGCCCGCGCACGTGCTGCGTGGAGTCACTGTTCCCCGGCGGTTTCTTGCCAGCAGTGGTAAAGTACTAGGAGTCTTGGAAACGACTCAGAATTGAAATGACCTGGCTCCCCTCCGGTGTGTGTTCCGGAGCCGCTGAGAGGCTGCCTTCCCGCAGCTCAGTGATCCCGGGTTGTCAGATTGCACAGAGTTACGAATGGGTTGGAAGCCTCCAAGAATAAGGAGAAAGGAAGGGGGCAGCAGGCCCTGCTGGCGGGCATGCAGCTCTGCTCCTGGCTGGCGGGGAACGGAAGGACTGGCGTTTGCCGGGTTCCCGCGTTGTAGGGTGCTCCTGAGTTTCCCTGGAAGGGCTTGGGGAGCGGCGCTCTGGTCTCTGGCTCCGTGTCCCTGTTCCAGGTTCCCCGGTTGAGGGCCTGCTGTCTTCAGTGCCAGCTTCCTTCTGTCTTCTGCAGTCCTGGGCTTCTGTGGTCTGGTCTGGGCACTTCTGCAAACGGGTTATAGGCAGTTACTGAGATGGGCGTTGGTTTGTCTGCGTCCGCCCGGCCTGCCCCCTGCCTGTGCCGAGTTCCTGAGCGAGAGTCTGCAGCTGGTGGAGCCTCAGCCCAGCTGCCTGCTTGGAGTTGCTTCACGGCCCCACTGGGCTCCCTTGTTCCGCTTTGCTTACACTTCTTGGTGGTTGTGTCATTACTTCGTTTGGTTTAATGTTGCTCACCAGCTGCTCAGGGTGGTATGCGAATCTGAGTTGACTGGGTCAGGCCAGCGCCAGCTCTAATTCCTCGTGTTCCCATTACCCCGCAGGTATGGGGCTGATGTTGATGTCAACCACCACCTGACGCCTGAGGTCCAGCCCCCTTTCTCCCGGCGCCTCACCTCCCTGGTGGTGTGCCCCTTGTACATCAGCGCGGCCTACCACAACCTGCAGTGCTTCAAGCTGCTCCTCCAGGCGGGGGCGAACCCCGACTTCAACTGCAACGGGCCTGTCAACACGCAGGCCTTCTACCGGGGCTCCCCGGCCTGTGTCATGGATGCTGTCTTGCGCCACGGCTGTGAGGCGGCCTTTGTGAGCCTGCTGGTGGAATTTGGAGCCAACCTGAGCCTGGTGAAGTGGGAGTCCCTGGGCCCAGAGTCGAGGGGCCGGAGGAAGGTGGATCCCGAGGCCCTGCAGGTCTTTAAAGAAGCCCGAAGTAAGTGGCAGGGTCGAGTGTATGTCTGACTTGCAGTCTGTCTGTGTTGTGAGTGAAGCAGAATATAGCCTTTTGTGAAAAAATTAACAGGCTTTTTTTTGTTTCAGAGAGGAATTTTAGGTTTACAGAGTAATTGTGCAGTAAGTGTGATGGGTTCCCACGAGCTTCCTGCCCTGTAGGGTTTCTCCCTCATTAATATGCTGTGTTTGTGTAGTATGTCACAACTGAGGAATAATCCTTCACTATTCTTGTATCAGTGCACGTGTTACAATGTATCCTTGATAACACTGTAACATACATTGTAATTAACTAAAGTCTATAGTTCAGAGGAGCCCTGGTGGTGCAGTGGTTACAGACTCCACAACTAACCAAGAAATCAACAGTTCAAACCCACCAGCTGCCCTGTGGGAGAAGCATGAGGCAGCCTGCTTCTGTGGAATGACAGCTTTGGGAACCCTATGGGGCAGTTCCACTCTGCCCTCTAGGGGCGCTGTGAGTCCGTATCGACTCCAGGCAGTGGGTGTGGTTTGGGCTTTGCTTTGGGAGCTCTGGTGGCCTAATACCTAAGGGATTTGACTGCTAACCAGAAGGCTGGCAGTTCAAAGCTACCCCTAAGAAGGAAGATTGGGCAATCTTGGAAACCCAAGGTGGGATCACTGTAAGAATTGACTCCACCACACTGGGTGAGTGTGAGTGTGTCCGTGGAGATTGACCACCTTGGAGACCCTGTGGGCAGTTCCACTCTGTCCTCTAGGGGCGCTGTGGGTCAGAATGGACTCCAGGCACTGGGTGTGGTTTGGGCTTTGCTTCTGTGAAGACTGACAGCCTTGGAGACCCTGTGGGCAGTTCCACTCTGTCCTCTAGGGGCGCTGTGAGTTGGACTCAACTGCATGGTAGTGGGATTTGAAAGTCCATGGATTACGTTGTTGTTCCCATCAGGATTCCCATCTTGTGTCCTGCAGCCCTGTGGGTTTTGACACATGCGTGACGTCGCGTACGCAACATCAAATAGGAGTGCAGCATTTTAAATTCACAGCTCAGCAGCAGGCCGGATCGTGGTCAGAGTTAGTGGTGGCCAGCACAGTCTCCAGACGGGTTTTCTAAGTCCCTAGACTCCAGGGGTTGATAGAAGGAACTTGTCAGCACCCATGTTCCCCGAGTTACTAGGGTGCTGTCGTATTTATCCCTTCATCTGCTTTGTGACCCCCGGTGCTTAGAGAAGGCAGCTTTGCTTTTGCTCGGTTTTCAGGGGGGTCACGCAGGAACCCCTCGGGGCCCTCACTCCTCTGCAGCTCCACCACCGCCGTGGAGCACGTGGTGAGGCGTCCACTTTGACTGCAGCAAAGTCTGTGTCTTGCTCATTTATGAAGAAGTCAGCTCAGTAGTCAGTGACCTGGGGAGATGGGTGTGGTCATTCCCGAGGCTCTCCTGAGGGCCCTGTGCACCCCCTGTGCACCCCGGCAGCAGCCCCCCAGCATTCCTGCCTGGGCCTTGGGGGCGTCCGACCTGTCAGCTCCTGCACTGAGCCCCGCCCTCACAGAAGCGTGAGTTCATTGCTGTCTCGTTACTCGTGCTTCCCAGCAGCTTCCGAGCCTCACTGTCTGCCCAGGGTCTGGCTGTGGTGCACAGGGAGTTCCCCGAGAGAACAGGTTCCCCGAGCGGGTGCACACGGACTCGGCGGCCTCGTCACTAGCTCAGCCAAAGCCGCCTGGGCTCTTCTGACCTGGAGCAGAATGGTCAGCCTGCCCTCCTTCTGGCCTGCTTGGCAGCTCACCTCCAGTGCCCTTGGAGCCTTTGCAGTTGACCAAGGGCCAGTGACAACAGGAAAAGGGTGTGACTGAGATGAGCCACGGTCAGAGGGACGGTGCCTCCCTGGTGACACGGTCACGGTGGCGGTCTTGCAGCTGCCACCGATGGCAGGAGTCTGTCCATAAGGAACCCTCCCTGGCCAGGACCTGCCCACCCCGCTTTCCTAGCAGGACATTGGCAGGGGTGCTGGTGGGAGTCTGTCTGTCCCGGCAGCCTTGTGTGGGGGGTGGAGGACTAATGGCTCTCCTTTGTCTCTCCCCCTCCCCTTGCTGCCCCAGGTGTCCCCAGGTCCCTGCTGGGTCTGTGCCGCGTGGCCGTGAGATGGGTTCTTGGCAAACGCCGACTCCACCTGATCCCCTCACTGCCCTTGCCGGACCCCGTGAAGCGGTTTCTGCTGTACGAGTAGGAGGAACGCAAGCCGTTGGTAACAGGAAGAAAGAAGATGAGCTGGGTGACACTGGTTCCTCACACTGTGACCCACGTCCTCTGCTCCCAGAGCTGTCCTGTCTGGCTGCGGCAAAGAAGAAACGGCCTTGTGCTCATGGGTTGTGATGTTGTTTCAGGTGCTTGGGGCATTGGACAGTCCTCCGTCACTGTGACCCAAGAGGCCCGGACAAAACTTATTTTTGTACTTCTTGAATGTCCCTCTTGTGGATTTTGACAGTTGTGTGTTAGCAAACCAGGCCGTGGACTGTGTGCAGGTGTGGCCTGCTGATGCTCCCAGTAGTGGGAGCACTCGGCGTTCCCCAGAACCGTGCTTTGTTTTGGCTTCAGCTTCCGAGTGTCGTGGTTCAGGTCAGGCCTGCACGCTCGTCTCTCGGTGAGCAGGGCTTTGGGAGAAAGAAGTGGAGCTGAGATGCTGCCCGTGAGCCCTCAGGACAGTCCCCTTGTGCTGGGGTGGAGCAAGGGGTGGCGCGCGTCACACACCCCGCCGCTGTGCCAGCGTCCTCCCCGGCTGGTGGGCGTCGGATCAGTTGTCTCTGTTTGGGGATGGCTTCCTGTGGAGACTCTGAGGAGGGCACAGTGTGGTGGCCCCGTGCTGTGCCTGTTCTGACGCCAGCGACTGCCTGGCCGTGCACCCACAGGTGTCAGGCTGTGCCGGCCATCATAGGGAGCTTTCAGACATGGTTGGGTTCAGGTGGCCCGCACCACACCAGTCAGTCAGTGGCTGCCAGCAGAGCAGGGCCCGCCCCACCAGCACTCACTGCCAGGCCGAAGGCGGGGATGGCTGCCGTCCTCTGGCCCCGATCCGCTGAAGGGTGGAAGTCCGTCAGAGTCCCTGGCCTCGTGTCCCGGTGCCTGCTGTCCTGGGCACACAGCACAGGTGGCGGGGGGATCGCCCTTCGCCTTTCTGGAACTAAACGTCTGGGCAGTGGCTCCCAGACGCTGAGAGAGGGACCGCAGCACGGCATACGCGTCTGAGAGCCCTGCCGGGGCGGCGGGAGAGCCAGCCTGGCGGTTGGCCCGACGCCCTCGGCTGTGTGGGCTCTTGGTGAAGGGCTTCCTGTCACACCAAGGCTGCGTAGCTAGCTGTCACTGGCTGCTTAGTCACTGCAGGGAGGCGGGGGCTTCTCAGCTTGTCCAGGTACCTTGTCTTTTGACCCCTCGCGTGGACCACCGTCGAGTGGCCTTCAGACTTCAGAACTGTGAGAGCAGCAGGGTTCGAATCCGTGTTGAGATTTTTCTGTAATTTGGGCATGCGGTGTCCCGTCCTTCCACGTGAGCTGGTGTCACAGTGGTGACAGCTACACAGCCCCTTCCCTTCCACCGCCGGGGCTGGCATTCTGTCCCCGAGCCTCCTGTGTACGTGTCACAGACGGCTCTGCTGGGATGCTGGGCTCACCCTCGTGTCCTGAAGGTCTGGGGGTGGGAGAGGCCGTGAGATGACTCGGGAAGACACTGTCAGCTGAGGTGACAGCTGCGGCAGGTGCGTGAACGTGAGGCCTGAGGTGGGGCTGCGTCGCGCTTCTGAGGGCACGGACGCCCGTGCTGACCAGGCTGGCTCAGAGCTGGACCAGGAAGGACCTGGGCCTGGATTGAGTCGTGAGGTCCTCAGAGAAGAGGGGTGTTGGGGGATGGGAGGGCTGGGCACATTCTCTGTGGCACTCAGGCAGCACTTGGCCGGTGCAGAGGCGTTCCAGAACTAAGGGAAGCATGACTCTGCCTGGAGACAGAAAGGACTTTGTGGTGGTTTGAGGGAACGAGGCCATTCTGCAGGTGTGAGGAGTGGCCACCGCCTCCTTGGCTGGGCTGACGGGCTCCGGGCGGGAACGCTTCTCAGCCCCGTGTCCTCTCCTCCTGCTAGCCGTGGGGCTGGGGGGGAGAAGAGGGAGGGCCTCTTCAGGTAAGCCACGCTGTAGCCCAAGAGCACCCGAGTCCGCCGGGCCTGCTTGCTACGGGGCGTTGAGGGCAGGGCCTCCCAACCTGCCCTGCAGAGGAGGGTGGCTCTGTTCTCCACTTCTGGAAGCAGGGCTGGGGTCTGCCAGGGCGGGGGCTCCGCCCACACTAGCGTGGTAGTGCAGAGGTGGGCCCAGCCTGGCTCACAGTGTGGTCTTGCTCCTGTGCCCTATACCTGGCCTGACTCAAAGTGAGGTCCTTCTTCTGGGCCCAGAAAAGCAACCGTGAGCTCGTGTCTGGAGGACAGGGACATACCTTCGTGGTCTCTGAATGGAATGGACTTCCCTGGTCCTCACCTGCAACCAGCCAGGGAGGTCATGTGTCCGGTCCCTGGCAGCGGGGTCTTGCACACGCCCAGCCAGGGAGGTCTTGTGTCTGGGGAGGGGTGAGCTGAGGGTCCCCCCATCTTATCCTGGGTGCTGTGTGTCGGATTGGTGGCAGCGTCTGTGCCCCAGTTCTTTGTTGGCAGAGGACAGGTGCACCTTGTCTTTGCTTGGGCCAGCTTTTGCTGGTTTTTCTGGCTCACAGCAGTTTAGCGTCCAGTCTCTTGCTGGAGTGAGGTCCGTGCATGGATGGATTGGGACTCTGCTGTGGGTTTCAGAGAAGGGAGGAGCAGCTCCTGTCAGTGGGGTGCTCTGCAGTCATGCTGCAGCCTGGGGCGCCCTGCTCCCGCAGCACCAGGGAGTGTGTGGTGGGGCTCCCCAGAGAGGCGGCATCAGGGAGGAGCGGGGAGGGGCCGAGCATGCCCACACAGCCCTGCCCCTTGTGTCCTGTCACCACCCCAGGGCACCGGGTGCCACTGAAGCCTGCGGTGTGTGCCGGCATGGTCCATGGAGACGTGAGCAGGTGTGTGTCGGGGGCAGTGCGGTGCTCTGAGGATGCTGGGAATTGAGCTTTGGCCTCTGGGGGAGGGGTGTGTCTGTGTCGCACGTGCTCAGTGCCTTGTTGCTCACGTGATTGTGTGTTCAGGCCCTGGCTCGTTCTGCAGATGCAGCCAAGGCAGCAGAGCTTGTGTTGTGTGTTGTGTGTTGACGTTTGACAGGCTCAGTGGAGAAGCACTTGTTGAAAGAGGAGTTTGGAGAGGGACGACACGGTGAGGCTGAGTATTTGTTGGTTATCAAGGATAAATGCCACTGTTTGGAGGGTTTAGTTTTCTTTCACGAATTGATCCTTCAAATAAAAGACGCATGAGGAAGCTGGAGGAGGAAGGGACAGTGATACAGGACTGTGCAGAAGGCTCCAAGCTCTGCAGCGGAGGCTGTGCCCTGAGCTCTGCCCTTTGCCCGTGTGGCCTCGGCCACTGCACTGTGACGCTGGACGCTGCTTCTGCGTGGGCAAGGTGCCTGCTGTGCCTCCTCCACGGGCCCTAATGTGCAGACCCTTATATGAGAAAGCACTTAGTATATTAGCAGTCTGTGGAAATGTAAGTGCTGTCATTGGCCTGTTGTCCCTGTCCTCAGTGGGTGTGACCTGAGGCCACTGCGGCAATGGGCATTGTGTGGTCCACAGCTTGGCGCCTGGGGCACTGGCCTTGAGCATGTGTTGCAGAGAAGAGTGAAGACAGCATATGGTGATTATTCAAGAAGTCACGTTTATCTAACGTACTGTTTTTTAAACACTCTTGTTAGGCAAAACAAAACGTGGCTGCCCTTGGTCAGTGCCAAGAAGTTTTAAGTTTACCAGGCTGAGAAATTCCTAGACTGGGGAACCATGAGTCTTGCTATTGCCTAAGTTTACTTGGTGAGAAACTCTCCTTGGGTTGTCGTGGAAGGCATCCCAGCGTGTCCACCGCCTCGCGGTCCCAGCACGGGTTTTAGGGTCACTGCGTGCACTTGCAGGCGTGCATCCCTGAGTCTGGCACTGACCGGGCAGGTCCTCCAGCAGTGCCAGACCTTGGCCACCCCTGGGTCCAAGGGTGACACAGCTCATGTGCCCGTCTCCTGGGCCTGGGAGCCTGTGGCACCTCCTGAAGGGTTGAGTGCTGGTGGTGGTGCTGTGGGTCGCTGTGCTGCCACCTCACCACCTGGTGTGACCAGGCCCCGACCTCCAGGGGTCTGGATCTCAGGCCTGGAAGTCTACATTTGGCCGCATGGCCCATCCCTCTCTCCCTTCCTCACTCTCCTACCACTCCTCCCCTCCCCCAAGCCCAGCTCCCTGAGTGGGGAGTGAAATAACTGATAGGAGGCATCAGTAGTTCATGGGCTTTGTGTCCCAGGAGAAGGTGGGGGGGTGCAGATTGTGAATTCCATGGTGATCCCAGGCAGAGGGCGGGAGGGGGCCACGAGGGGTAGCGAAGGGGGCACTTCCTGTTGCCTTAACATCGTTACTCAGTGTCAGGGCCCTGGGGTCCTCTCGTTTCTAAGGAGTTTTGATTTGAAGGTCTCCTATGCCAGGTACCGAACGCATGTGCATAAATCCAGGCTGGGGAGGCTGTGTGTGAACGCCGTCGTGTACACGTCAGAGGTGGTGTGCTGCTGGAGCGTACCAGCAGTGGCTCTGCTCTGCCTGTGGTCTCAGTGCACACAGCCCCACTGCCGCTGCTTGGTGCCGGCCCAGGAAGCGTGACGTGCTGGGCCCGCGCCTGAGACTCGGGGAAGACAGTGCTGCGACCTGCCCTCAGCTCCCCTCTGCCTGGTACTGAGCACGAGTTTGCTACAGGGGCTGGGACCCCAACTGTCCCAGCCGTTGTACCGAGCTCAGAACCTGGAGAAGTGTGATGGACACCTTTGATGTGTGTTTGTAACTTTAATAAATGCTCTATTCCTCTTAAGTTCTCAGACGTGCCTTCTTGTGGGTGGAAGTGTCATTGATGTGAAAGCTGGGTGTACACCCTTCAGGGAGGAGTGGCCGGCGTCTGGGATGTTCCAGGTGATTGGAGAGAAGGACCCATCTCAAACACTGAGGGGCCTGAGGGCCTGTGGAGGGTGCCCCAATGCACCACAGGGGCACAGTGCCTGACTGGCCTGTTGTAGTTGATGGGGTTTCTGGTTTGAAGAGAGTTGCGCCCCTAAAAGTGTTTGAAGCCTAAGGCTTTCAGTCAAGGTGACGTCCCTCCATTGTTCTGCAGGGTGGGGGTGGGGTGGGGTGGAGGAGGTGGAGAATGTGGCAAGACAGTTGTCTCTGGCCCTGTTGTATGTGACTTTTTTTGTTAAGATTGGGATGAACCAGGAATGAGCTCAATGAAGACTCTTATTTCCAGGTGAGTGCCTAGCATGTCTCTGTATCTGCTGCCTCAGGTATTTTACTCATGCTGCCCACACCTCTCCTGCTGGCAGTCAAGGGTTCAAATCAGGAGAATGGGCTGAAGTCACCAGACTCCCTCCTCCACACACTTGGACAGTCATGCTGCCACAGCCCGGTGGAGACTGGCAGGAGCAGCGCCTGAAGTAGATAGAACCCTCAGCAATTTCCCGCTTGGCTTTGGGACTGTCAGCAGTCAGGAAGAAAACAAACTGATATTTATCTCCTCAACTAGCAGGAAAGACCTTGAGATACTGACATTGAACATGGTCAAAGAGATGGTCAGGTTGTCTTACAGTGGATTCCAACATATAATTCAAGAATTCTGAGAAACAAGCTGTGAGTTTCCAGATGCCAAGGGCCAACCAAGTGCCAACACCGTGGAAGAGGAGAGATCTTTGCAAGAAACATGACTTAGAAATTTCTGAAGACTAGAGAAAGACTTGTACAGTGTCTGGAGAGAATTAACAGGTTCCACAGAAAGTGCCAGGAATCAGAATAGCTCTGGACGGTTCAGCTGCAACACTGGAAGAGAGAATGTAAAGTTTTGCTTTCAGAATTCTGCAGGAACGTTTCCAGCTTGAGTCAAAGCTAAAGACATGTAGGGTCTTAAATTTTTCACTTTCCACACACTGTCTCTTAGAGAACCTCAAGGAAGTGTGCTCTGCTGCAGTGAGGGTGTAAACGAAGAAAAGACATGGCAGACAGGAACTGGGGGACCCCAGGCAGAGGTCAGGCGACTGGAGGAGGGTGGAAGAATTCAGGGTGGCAGCTGTAAGCCAGGCATAGAGGCAGCTTCTAGATGAGAGGTTAGAAGACTCCGGACAAGGTTGTCAGTCATTAGGATACTAGTCATATTGACTGGTACGTGTTGACAAAGGATTTTGGGACTTGATAGGGAGTTGGAATTGAATTATTGGCAGATACATAGGAAACCAAGAAACATAACTCCAAGGAAGACAAAAAATTGGGCAAGACAGAAGTAGTGTACTACATGCCTCAGCTGGGATGAGCATGTACATAGGCCTGTGGACCAGTGGTTAAGAACTTGGCTGCTAATCAGCTTGGTGGGTTGAGTCCACCCAGAGGTTCCTCCACAAGGTTGGGGCTTTGAGTCTACCAAGCGGCTCCTCGGAAGAACTGGCAGTCTTACTTCTGAAAAGTCAGCCGTTGAAAACCCTCTAGAGCCCAGCTTTGCTCTGCAACACGTGGGGTCGCTGTGAATCGGAACCATGACAACTGCTTTCTTTAAAAAGGTGACACATGGAAACCAAGTAGCAGAGGGGGATTGGGATTTGATTAAATAATTACATGTGAGTTAAAGTCTCAGTAAAATGACAGAATGAGCCAGAAGAGCAAAGGAGGAGACGATGAAGGTGAAGATACAGGCAGTGATCGTAAGATCAGAAAAGCAGGAGAACTGTTCATTAAAATCTTGCCTTTGAAAATGAGCAATTTAGGTAAGCCACTAGCTAATCCGAACATTGGCTTTGTTTCCTAATAGCGTTTGGGTTGTGTATGTGTGTGTTTTGTTTTACTCTGTCTAATTTTTCAGGAAGTTGGAAGTTTGGGGTTAACCAGTAACACATATTCATTCCACTGGGAAGTAGGCCCCAGTTAGGTTTTTCACGCGGAACATCTGAATTTCAGGAATACATCACTTACGTTAACTGAGGGATGGCTGGAAAGGCCCCAATCTAAAGAGCAGAAGTTCATTAAAAACACACAAATAGACAATAGAGGGCAGTGACAAAACCCTAAAGCCGGTTCTTTGTAAAGGGAAACAGTACTGGGGATCCTCCGGTTAGAGTGGTCACGGGAAGACATGTGAATCACAGTCAAGGGGGCATCTCTCCACGTGCAGCACTACAAGGTGACCAGACAGGTAAATGGGAAGATTTAGAAGGGCAGGTTCTTAGGAAAATGTAACTTGTGAAAAGTAATAAAGGAGGTGCTGGGATTGTGACCACAGCAGGAAATGGTATTTGACTGCAGACCACGGGAGTTGTGCATCTCCTTGAGAGAGAGTAAAGCTGCCCTGTGGGAAACACATTGCCAGGTGCCCATGGTGGCTCAGTGTCTAAGGGATTTGACTGCTAACTAGAAGGCTGGAGGTTCAAACCTACCAGCCACTCCGTGGAAGGAAGACTGGACAATCTCCTTCCATAGAGATACTGCCTTGGAAACCCAAAGGGGGGTACTGTGAGTTGGAATTGATTCGATGGCATTGAGCTTTTGAGTTTATGGTGATGTCAAAGGCTGTGTGCTAAATGAAGAGCCAGGGAAGGGGTGTTTATGTGCCTGGAGACCACATCAGAGAGAGACTTCCATTGCCCTCCTCCTAGTGTCATTTTCTTATTCTTGGGTGTGTCACTCACACCCCAGAGTGCTCTGTGGGGGCTGGCTCTGGAGGGTCCCTGGCTCCGGCTCTTAAGGAGCCAGAATTGCTTATGGATTGCACAGGACTGTGTGGCCTTGGAGGATGTGGCCATGGACTCACAGGAGGAGCTGTGACTCCTTTGTAAGGCTTGGAGTCTTACGTGTTGTGTTGTGATGCCCAAGGACTCTGCCGCTTTGGGCTCCCTGGATTGTTGGCATGGAGTGGAGGATGAGGCACTTTCTGAGGAGGGTACTTTTGTAAGAGTGTCTCAGGTCAAGACTCCCAAGGCAGGCCCATCCACTCAGAAGGCTCGTGTGTGAGATGCAGGCTCGTGTGTGAGATGCGGGCTCGTGTGTGAGGTGCGGGCTCGTGTGTGTGAGGTGCGGGCTCATGCGTGTGAGATGCAGGCTCGTGCGTGTGAGATGCAGGCTCGTGCGTGTGAGGTGCGGGCTCGTGAGTGAGGTGCGGGCTTGCGCATGAGGTGCGGGCTCGTGTGAGGTGCGGGCTCGTGTGAGTTGCGGGCTCGTGTGAGATGCAGACTCGTGCGTGTGAGGTGCGGGCTCGTGCGTGTGAGGTGCGGGCTCGTGCGTGTGAGGTGCGGGCTCGTGCGCGTGAGGTGCGGGCTCATGTGTGTGAGGTGCAGGCTCATGTGTGAGATGCAGGCTCGTGTGAGATGCAGGCTCGTGCATGTGAGATGCGGGCTCGTGCGTGTGTGAGGTGCGGGCTCGTACGTGTGAGATGAGGGCTCGTGCGTGTGTGAGGTGTGGGCTCGTGTGTGTGAGATGCGGGCTCGTGCGTGTGAGGTGTGGGCTCGTGCGTGTGTGAGGTGCAGGCTTGTGCGTGTGAGGTGCGGGCTCGTGAGTGTTAGATGTGGGCTTGTGTGTGAGATGCAGGCTCGTGCGTGTGTGAGGTGCAGGCTCGTGCGTGTGAGGTGCGGGCTCGTGTGTGAGATGCAGGCTCGTGTGAGATGCAGGCGCGTGCGTGTGAGATATGGGCTCGTGCGTGTGAGTTGCAGGCTCGTGCATGTGAGATGCGGGCTCGTGTGTGAGATGCAGGCTCGTGTGAGATGCAGGCTCGTGCGTGTGAGATGCGGGCTCGTGCGTGTGTGAGGTGCGGGCTCGTGCGTGTGAGATGCGGGCTCGTGTGTGAGGTGCAGGCTCGTATGTGTGAGGTGCGGGCTTGTGTGTGAGATGCGGGCTCGTGTGTGTGAGATGTGGTCTTGTGTGTGAGATGTGTGGCCCCGTCTTGAAAGCTGTTTTGCTCCTGCCTCAGCACCAGGGAACGTGCCCTGGGCTGAAGCTACGTGTGTGGGGCATCTGAGAGAGGAGCCATTTCAATGTAAACCAGCGCCAGTAGCAGCGCAATGAGAGGCCCCTACAGAAGGGCAGGGCCTTGCCTGTGGAGTCCACATGTTGGAAAAGCTCTTCCTGTGCAGGGAATGGTGGGCAGAACTTTGACCAGTGCTGACTTGCTGAAGCAGCAGACCTCTCCCAGTGGGGAGGCCACAGAGGAGCCAAAGGTGGGAGGACTTTCACCTGGAAAAAGGCCTCATGTGCAGCAGATGTGGGAAAGGCTTCAGCAAAAGGTACACACTTGTTTGGCACCAGAAGTTTCATAAAGAAAGGCCTTGGTATAGCACATATTGCAGACCTTGCAGCTGCCTCTCTGAGCTCATTGAGCACTAGGAAGGCTTGATGAACGCACGGGAATGGGGACGCATCAGACAGGTCTGCTCTGATTTAGCACTGGAAGGCTCGGCCTACGAAGACAATGTGGAGAAAGCTTCCACCAAACCTCTGAGCTTGTGTAAAAACCTTTAAGTGCAACCAGTGTGGGAAAGCGTTAAGCTGTAGTCCAACCTCATTCTCCACCAGCAGATTCGCACTTAAGGAAGTCCTTCTGAATACAGAGACATGGGAAAGCCTTCTGCTGAAGAGACTTCCTGACTCAGCACCAGAATGTTCACGCTGGAGAAAAGCCTGATGTGAGAAAACTTCCCACCAAAGGCCTAACCTCACTGCACCAGAGAGCAAGTTTCAGAGTCTCTCCTGACATCCATTTTGGTCTTCTCTCTTTTCTGCCTTTTTAATGAACTTTTGCTTCTTTCATGTATGATGTCCTTGATGTCGTCCCACAACCCGTCTGTTCTTCAGTCATTGGTGTTCAGTGTGTCAAATTGATTCTTCAGATAGTATCTAAATACAGGTGGGATACACTCAGGGATTATATCTTGGCCCTCATGGAGCTGTTACAATTTTCTTTAGTTTCAACTTAAACTTGCAGGTTAAAAATGGATGGTCTGTCTGCTCCACAGTTGGCCCCAGGCCTTCTTCTGACTGATGATAATGAGCTGCTCCAGAGTCTCTTTCCACAGATGGAGTCAATCTGACGCCTGTGTACTCCATCTGCTGTGGCCCATGGGTATACTTGTCCTTTATGTTGTTGAAAAAAGAAATTTGCAATGAATAAAAAGAAAAAAAAAATTAAGCCTTGAGTTGCAATAATGGGCAAAATATTGAATGATGAAGCAAACATCAAAAGGAGGGAATACACAGTGTCACTCACTGTACAGAAAATAATTGGTCGATGGTCAGCCATGTCAGGTGGTAGCACGTGATCAAAGACCAGTGTGGTGTTGAAGGAAGTCCAAGCTGCACTGAAGGAATTGGCAAAAAACAAGGCTCCAGGAATATCTATTGAAATATTTCAGCAAACTGATGCAGCAGGAGGTGCTCACCTCGTTTATGCCAAGAAATTTGGAAGACAGCTACCTGGCCAACCAACTGGAAGAAATCCATATTTGTGCCCATTCCAAAGAAAAGTGATCCAACAGAATATGGAAATTATCAAACAATATCATTAATATCACAGGCAAGTAAAATTTTGCTGAAGATAATAATGAAAAAAAAAAAAAAAAGGTTGCAGCAGCATATTGACAGAGAGCTTCCAGAAATGCAAGCTGGATTCAGAAAAGGACATGGAATGAGGAATATCATTGTTGATATTAGATGGATCTTAGCTGAAAGCAAAGAATACCTGAAAGATGTTTACTTGTGTTTTATTGACTTGCACACAAAAGCATTCAACTCTTTGGGTCATAACAAATTATGAATAACATTGAGAAGAATGGGAATTCCAGAACACTTGATTGTAATCATGAGGAACCTGTACATAGATCAAGAGGCTTTCATCATACTTATTCAATTTGTATGCTGAGCAAATAGTCCAAGAAGCTGGATTATATGAAGAAAAACATGGCATCAGGATTGGAGGAAGACTCATTAACAACCTGCCATACACAGATGACACAACTTCCCTTCCTGAAAGTAAGGATGACTTGAGGCACTTACTGATGAAGATTAAAGAGTACAGTCTGCAGCACCTCAATATAAAGAAAACAAAAATCCTCACAACTAGCCCAATAAACAGCTTCATGATGGATGGAGAAAGGATTGAAGTTGTCAAGGACTTCATATTACTTGATTCTACAATCAACATCAGTTGAAGCAGCAGTTAAGACATCAGATGATGTATTGCACTGGGCAAATCTGCTGCAAAAGACCTCTTTCAAATGATGAAGAGCAGAGATGTCTCCTTGAAGACTAAGGTGCACCTAACCCAAGCCATGGTATTTTCAATCGCCTCTTATTCATGTGAGAGCTGGACAATGAATAAAGAAGACTGAAGAAGAGTTGATGCTTTTGAGTAGTGGTATTGGAGAAGAATGCTAAGAGTACCATGGACTGCTAAAAGGACTAGTAGATCTGTCCCAGAAGAAGAGCAGCTGGAATGTTCCTGGGAAGCGAGAATGGCCAGACTTAGTCTCACCTACTTTGGTCATGTTGTCGGGATGAATCATTCCCTGGAGAAGGATATGTTGAGTAAAGTGGAGGGTCAATAAAGAAGGGGAAGGCCCTCAACAAGATGGGTTGACACAGTGGCTGCAATGATGGCCTCAGTTATAGCAAGGATCGTGAGGCTGGCACAGGACTAGGCAGTGTTTCATTCTGCTGTGCATAGGGTCACTATGAATCGGAGATGACTTGATGGCAACTAACAATAACAACAACAATAACAACAACATAGCTTAGGAAACTCTATAGGACACCTCTACTCTGTCCTGTAGAGACACTGAGTCAGAATTGACTCAATGACACACAACAAGAAAATGTCATACTGTCCTATGACAAATATGTAACATATTGGTCTGTTTATGAAAAGAAACAAAAAGTACTACTTTTTGTTACTTTTTCTCAGATCTGGAGATTTGCCTGTTCTCAAGGATACTTACGAAAAACCCATATTCATTCTTGATAACTCAACTAATTTTACTGAATGATTCAACTCTTCAAAACCTTTATATTTCTACTGCTAGTAGAAGGAATAAGAACAATGAAACAGCCACAATGTTTAATTTTTTCAATCTTCATGCCACCAGAGGAACTAGAAGACCAGTGTTTGACCTTTACTCTCTCATTTACAAACTATGGGGTCAAGTGGTTAAGAGCATGAGTTCTTTTGATAGACTGACTGAATTTCAATCTTAGCTTTACTGATTTCTAGAAACAGAATTAAAAATACTACTTACCTTTGTTTCTCAGTTTTCTCATCTATAAAATGAAAATAATAATAATAATAGTACTTACTCATATGATTTTTGTGAGGCTGAAATGATAACCTGCGTAATGCCCAGTACTTAATGTGTTGTTGCTGTTAGCTACTGTCACATCATGCCACCTCATGGCAATTCCATACACAACAGAGCAAAACCCAACTGCTGTAATCCGTAGAGTTTTCATTGGCTGGTTTTGGAAGGAGATCCCCAGGCCTTTCTTCATAGTCTCTCTTAGTCTGGAAGCTCCATTGAAACCTGTTCAGCATCATAGCAACCAACATACAAGTCTCCAGTGTCAGACAGATGATGACTGACCTGAGGTATATTGTCTGGGAATCAAACCCAGATCCCCCACACGGCAGGGTGAACATTTTACCACTGAACCACCAATGTTTATCTAATGTCAGCTATTGTTATTATTCTGTGATTCTTCAGAGACTCACTTTCCTTACTTGTAATATCAGAGGCTTGGTTTAGATAACCTACAGACTCTACAAAAAGGAACAAACAAATACATGTATTTGTTTTATACAACTACTCCTCGCTTATCTACTATCTCATTATCTGACATTTTGCATTCACACCAATAATAAACAATCTACTGTCTACAATAATGAAAAATCTGCTATTTTGCTCATTAATGATTCATGCCTGGCATTAATGAATGAGGAGGTGGGAGGCCGGATCAATGGTGGCTATCATGGTTAAGGTTATGTGTCAACTTACCTGGGCCATGATCTCAGTAGCTTGGCAGTTATGTAACAATGGAATGAGGCACCTAAGTAATGATGTAATTTGGTGTCCGTAATGATGTGGTCATCCTCTATTTTCACATAATGCTGATTTTCTCATAACGACCTGGTCTTTGGAACCTAGCCATGTTGATAAGACAGGAGTGGGTGTATTTTTATATATAAGGCATATCAGGTGGTAAAAGTTCTATACAGAAAAATAAAGGAGGGTAAAGAGTTCGTTATCAGGGGATAACCATTGTGGTGGCACAATGGTTTAGCACTTAACTGCTAACCAAAAGGTTGGTGGTTCAAATTCACCAGCAGCTCTGGGGGAGAAAAGATCTGGCAATCTACTCCTGTAAAGATTATAGCCTAGGAAAACCTATGGGCAGTTCTACTATGAATCCCTATGAGTCAGAATCAATTTGACCACACACAACAGCACAGACTCTGCAACCAAGAAAGGAAGTAGTCTTTTCTCCATTTTGCTAATGAAAAAAGTGAGACACCCCATGTTAGAATGACTAGCTGAGGTTCACAGAACAAAGAAATCAGTAGCCTTCGGTGCACCTAATCCAAGCCAAGGTATTTTCAATCACCTCATATGCATGTGGAAGCCAGGCGATGAATAAGGAACACCAAAGAAGAATTGGGGAGCTCTGTCTGGTAGCATAGTGGCTAAGACACTTGCCTGCTAACCAGACTGCTTGTGGTTCAAACCCACCAGCCACTCCTCGGAAGGAAGGTTGGGCAATCCTACTTCCGTAGTGATACTGCCTCGGAAACC